TATGCCCATGTTACTTGATAGCACACTTGAGAGTTAGTTTGATACATAACACTTTAGGCAATATTTTAGTATATATCATCTGAAATTGTCAGTGCACAAGAAAACAATACCACTATCACTCTTAGAAAATTTAACAACTCTTTTCTGATATAGTACATGATATTGCTTATATTTCCTCAGCCATCCCCAAAATATTTCTTATTGCTGTTCTGGTTATCCATAGCTGCAAACATTTCATTTACTAATTAAATTATTCTACAAGTTCAGGCCATGCCTCCACGAGACTGCCCTCATTTCAGACTCGAGGTTCAAGTTCAGGAGTTTCCAAGAATGCCATTACTTCAAGTCAACTGTCTGCAGATTCCCAGGATCCCATGATAACTGCAGATTTATGAGCTACAAGGATGACACACTGAACTAATGATTCTGCTCTATTAGAATTATATATATTTTTTTTTAAAAAATGTAGACAGGTACAAAGCAGAACTAAAGTGAGGGACATATCAGGTGAGGTCAGAGTGTCCCATGAAGGGAACTTCCATGGACCCAATGGATGCATCTCCTTCTCAGAATGTTAATGAGTGGCAGAATAGGCCAACCAGGGGGCACTCATCTGAGCTCTGATGTTCAGAGATTGACCAGGGTTCATTATAAAGGTGTGAGTGGTTGATAAGAGAGTGAACTCAGTCTTCAGTATCAATTCCCTGCCAGGGTGAGCATCTCATGGCTCAAAGCCAGCACACTTTAATCACAAGGTCAGTGTTCTGAAATGGTGAGCTCCCACCATGAATCGTTTTGTTAACATGAACTACGAAAGAACTGAGATGCATAAAACTTCATGGCCTACCATGATAAAACAGCCTTCCTAATAATTCCAGGGATCTCAAAGAATTAGAGAGGTCACCTCCCATGACCTGATTAGAAGTCCAGAGAAAGTCTTTCTTTGACAGGTATATGTAAAATGGTATAACTGCAGACGTAGGTGAACAGGAGAATGTGCACCATCACTGTCCCAGGCACTCCCACACTGCTTCCTGACAGACCCCATGATGTACATGACAGACACCTAACACTAAACCCATATGACACTAATTTATTTCAATACCAGAGATAAGTAAAGTGCAAGTTTGAGTATTTTATGTATATGAGGGTTCTATCTGCATGTATGACTTTATGCCAGTAGAGGGTATCAGATTCCTCTAGAGATGTTTGTGAGCCATCATATAGTTGCTGGGAATTGAACTTGGGACCTTTGGAAGAGCAACCAGTGCTCTTTACCACTGAGGCATCTCTCCAACAAGTTTTAGTATTTCATGCTTGTTTTGCAATGGTACCTCTTTTTTGCCGATGGGATTAGTGTTCCATTTCAAAACCCAAAACAACTCATCTCCTGAGCAAACAGTAAAGGAATTAGGTGTAGATGCTATGCTGGTTCCCAAGTACTGTCATAATCCTCTGTAAAAGGACTGTTTCAAAGCCTTTGACTAGTCTTTTTTTTTTTTTTTTTTTTTTTTTTTTGGTGATTGTTGTCAACCCCAATTGGCTGATTTGTCCAGGTCACTTTCACTAGCCCATGGGATGAGAATGAATATGATTATCTAAATACAGGAGGCTACTACACGTTCTACTTACAAGAGGTTGTTTTTCTCTATGATCTGGTCTTCAAAACGACAAATGTGGAAAGAAACTAAACAGCATTTCAGTAACCAAACCCTTAGGACATATGCAAATGAGAAATATTTGTTGTTGGAAGTCACTTGAATATTATGCATGATTTATTCCAGTGTATGTGGGATATGATAACTTTAGAAATATGTTTTTGCTGAGGGGGTAAAACCCCTGAGCATCTGTGACTGGAGTGAAGTGGTTTGCAGGTATATTTATTACCATGGAAATACTCTGATAGATTTAAAAATTACACAGGAGTTCATATTCTGTCATATCTGATTATTTTTCTTGCAGCACCTCAGTTACTTAGTAACTTACTGAATAAAGAATGGTGTAGGGAGGGCAAGGCAGGTGTCTGTGGAAGGGTCAGCTGTGGGGCAGCAATGGTCTGGTCCCGGGTCTGGGTGACCATGCTGAGGTCTGGCCTGACAGCAGAACTGGAGCCCAAGCAGTGAGGGGAATGTCAGCATGCTGGTGAGAAAGTGTCTGGATTCAGGAGAGAGTCTCCAAGCAGCAGTCTGGTGTGAGACGTCAGAGTCTGAGAGGTGAGGAGGGCAGCTATGCTATGGAATGGTCACTTGTAGGGAGTCTGTGCTCCAGCATGGTGAGGAGAGTATCAACTCATTAGGTCACTTCCTGTGGGGGGTCAGAACTGCAAATAGGAGAGGAGAGGGTCCTGATGGAGGAACTGAACATTTGGAAGGTAAACAGGGCATTTGTGCTTAGTGAGGAGGGTACCCGTGCATGGTGAGGAAAGTATCTGTGGTGAAGCGGGCACCCATGCATAGGGTTGGCTCCATACTGGGTTGGATTCAAAGACACAGAACATTGAAAGGATCTTCTTTGCAGAGGGTAGACCAGGCATGTGTAAAGTGTATTCCTACTGTGGACCTCACTGTGGAACCTTAGTGCCTAGTAGGGTAAGGAGAGCATCATTGCCTGGTTGTGGATGTCCTGGCATTGGGTGCAGTGGTCAAAGAGGCCGAGGAGAGTGTCTGTGCAGAAGGCAGATCTGGTATGGGTATCAGAGACTGGCAAGGTAGGGATGCTGTCTACCTGGTAGGATAGCTCTGTGTGGCCACTCAGTACCGTCCAGGGGGATGAGGGCTTCTGCACATGGAGGTGGCCTTGGTGGAGTGTAAAGCCTCAGGGGTAAGGGGAGACTCCTCAGTGATTAACACCAGGAGTCAGAGCACGAGCCTGGTGAAGAGGCTTCCTCCCTTGTGATGTGAGAACTTCATCAAGGTGTCTGGTCCTGAGTGGGAACATCCAGCTGACGGGAGGAAGGTATCAGTTCAGGGCACACAGGCTTGACCTGAGGGCTGGAGCCCATCCTGCAGAGACAGGCAGCTTAGTGGAGGACGTGGGAGTGTGATGGCCAGCATCCAATAGATTATCACTTGAGAGCTTTCCATAGAGATAATGAACACAGAGTTTTCACTCACAGAAGTAGGTTAGAAATGCTGAAATTTGGGAAAGAAATGAGTCATGTAGTGGCATTACAAAATGGGGTAATAGTGTGAACCCATGGTTTTTAGTATGTTTGGATATAAAAGTAAGAAAAAAATTAGAAACACAAACTAAATGTGTGCGTGTGCGTGTGCGTGTGCGTGTGCGTGTGTTCCCTCTCTAGCAGGACCAAGACTGTTAAGTTTTACTCCCTCAGATAAAAAATCCAGGTCCAGTGGTTCCGTAGGCTCTCCTACATGCCCTGAGCTGCTGGAGGCTGGTCCTCAAGGCAGCAAAACATGTGCTGTTTGCTTATTATGTGTTTGAACATGGCAGTAGCCAGAGGAGATTTCAAGAAGGGCAGTGTTTGGAAGACTTGGAGGCTGAGCATGTGGGTTGAGCTAGAAGACATTTGCAGGAAGAACTCAAATGATCACACTATTAGCAGCTAGTTTAAGTTTTCCTCGGGTACATTGTGATCCATTAATTTTCCCAACTGTTCGCAACAGTGCTGTGAACCCACAAGGCTCCTGCTGAGCAGTGCAGGGATTAAGAGAAGACAGAATGGGGGAGAGAGACATTATTTACCACAGTGGCTTATCAGAGCTGTGTCAGGATGTGGCCAGTGGCCCAGTGAGTGGAGAGTGCACATGAGTTAGTTATGAAGACAGTGGGAAGCAGAGAGCTCAGAGGAGCAGCTTCAGAAGGACCAGGATGTGAACTTTGCCTTCCCACCTGCTGGAGACAACTGAGTGGGAAATGGGAGACCACACAATGGTGAGGGGCCAATAGTCCTCTAGAATGTGGTGTCAGAACTTGGCTGTTCAGTCAAAATGGATGTTGTTGTGCCTTAAGT